GACAGGGAGCCGCGGCCGTCATCTTCCAGGCTCGCGCCTGCCAGGTTTTGGCCCGAGGTCGTTTTCACGAAACCACGTTTTACGAGAGGTGGTTCTGTCCACCTCCGATATCACATGTTATCACGACTAGAAACCTACAAAAGTTACATACTACTAATATTGACATGTGCATGCATCCACTGTATATCTATAAACAACAATACACTACGCGTTAAAACTTATGTGGTGCATCATGCCGCGTGCGCGATCTTTGGATTGTGGCTTTGCTGCAGACTGCGTGGTGCAAGCTATGTGGTGCCAGGGTCAGCCAGCACACGTGGGAACCAGAGAAACATGCAGGTCCATCAGCCAACGCACGGGGCGCACTCAAGCAGATTCATCAGCCCGAAATTCGGTCTTCGCAGCTGTCGCACGGGACGCGCACGAGGCGCCGACGAGCGGGGCACCAGACGAGGCGAACACCCGGACTTTGCAGCGCATGCGTTGGGCTGCCGCGACGCGGCAAAGCGTTGGCACCAAGCGCAAGCCCAGAAGGGTCACACATTATTTGCAACGGCAAGCAAGAACTTTTCGTTCCAGTGCAGGCGTTGCTTGGGGAACCTTGCGCCGCATGGATTGCAACACGTGCGTGATACCGCATCGCACGCGTTGCACCACACCGACTGCAACACATTGCACCACGAAGTGCTGCACATCCTGAGTGCAAGATCGCCTGTTTTGGAGTCCACGCTTGTCAGTATCAAAGGGAATTCACTCGGCTGTGCTAATCTGGCTCTATCCTCCTTGATGCCCGAGCCTCTGGGCATATCGAATGGCTCGGTTTCACGAGACTCCAACGCTTTCACATGGGAGTCTTCAAGCAACCCATTTAGCCCAGCCACCACCCCGTGCCCTAGCCATCGATGTACGGCAAGGCTAAGTGTTTCCGCTTCCTGATGATATTCTGCAGCATTTTCATAATTACCACCTGTTGCAAGTCTTTTCGAAGATCGTTCATCGTTCCAAAGGCCAGTCAACGCCTATGCATAATATCGCGCCAGTGCATGACACATGACGTGATATCTCCAGCACGCAGCAGCGTCCATGACATGAGCATCGTGGGTCTTTGTCAGGGCTCGTCCGTAGAAGGGGGATGAGACTGAGGCAGAGGGAAGGGGAATGGAGAGGGCGCATGGCGGCGCGGGGGAACGATGGAGTCCACGTTTCGGCCGCTGCATCCGCGGCGCTAGCGGTTGCGTTCGGTCGGTTCGATTCGGTCGCTCTGTTGCGTCGCCGTTGCGTCGATGCTTCTTCCCCAGCTGCGTTCGCCCACTGCGGACTCGGTCGGCTCAGCCCCTACTGTCTCAGCAGGAGCCCGCTCCAGCAAGGAGAAGCACGCTGCCGTCTGGCCTTTTCGCTTTCCCCTGCACGTGTGTGTACACGCACAGAGAGGGGTTACGACCTCCATGCTCTGGCCCAGGGAGGCAAGGACCCTGTCCTCATGAGAGTGCGACGGCGAATGCGAGCGACTGCCCGCCTGTCTCGCACTGCTCCTGGTGCGCTCGCTTGCGGAGGCTGCCGTCGCTGGCGTGTTGTCCGACCTCGAGACTGGGCGCCGGCGGCAAACCGTCAACCAGGCTAGTTACTGCCGCGGACCTCGTAGAGCTCCGTACACGCATAAGAGTGCTCTTGATGCAGACAGGACGCTTCCTGAGCATGAGCTTGAAAGCGGAGGCTGTCGTCGCTGGCGTGGTGTCCGGCCTCGAAGCAGCAGTCGGATGCAGGCGGCGCTCTGCCTCTCGCCGTGGGCCCGGCTCGGCGGGCTCTCGTGGCTGCTGCGGCCGCCGTGGGCGGCCTGTTTCGGGGGAGAGGGGAGGGGGGGGGGGGGGGGGCAGGGGGGGAGAGGGCAGGGGAGGGGCAGAGGCAAGCTAGGTGCGCTCGCGTCACATCTGACATCCTACCCCTCCCTCCCATCCCTTACCCTGGCGCAGATCCCTTCTCTACTCGCACGGTCGGATGTCAAGCAGGGCGATGATCCCGAAAGGGTACGCGATGCGTTGTAGAGCACGGCATGGCATGGCGTAGAAGAGCACCGCGAAGCGTAGTATCAACCGAGCATTGCATTGCATGCCGTGGCATGGCACGGGAAATGACGCCAGCGCTGCAGCGGGAGCACGAGTCGAAACGAGCGGAAGCGCGGAAATGAGGCCAGCGCTGCAGCGGGAGCACGATTCGGAACGAGCGGAAGCACGGAAATGAGGCCAGCGCTGCAGCGGGAACACGATTCGGAACGAGGGGAGGCCCGAAAATGAGGCCCGCGCCTCAGCGAGAGCAGCATTTTGAAAAAAATGCAAGCGAAAATCCAACTCCCGGGAATCCTGTGTGTAAAAAAGAAGGGCGCGGGGGGGGGCGAACACTCCCAGCACGTCATCAGGGGAAGAGGGCGAGTAGTATTCATATTGAATAATTGTGGAGGGGGGGGGAGGGGGGAGAGGGGAGGGGGGGGGCAGGGAGGGGAGGGGGGGGGCAGGGGAGGGGAGGGGGGGGGGGGCAGGGGAGCCAGCGCGGAGAGGCAGGAGGCGCGCAGCAGGGCATCAACGAGCGCGGAGGGGGGGGGGACGGAGCGATGCGGATGCAGATCCTGGGAGGTGAAACGCTGAGTTTGCCCTGGTCCGAAGTCCGGCTTCCTCCCGCTCCATCCGGCTCAATCCCGCGGAATCCGAGGCCTTCTCTTGCGCAGCAGCCCCGCAATGGGCCAAGGAGTGGCGACGCGTCGGGGGCTGCCTCTATAGCCCTGCCGAACAATGTTCTGAGAACCCTTTTTTGTGGCTCCCACGAAATGCTCCTGGAACAAATCTGGCCGGGAGCGTCTTGTTTGAATACATCGGGTTAACGTTCCAAGAACACTGCTTTTGTTCCAAAAAATCATGTGCTGGGGGTTCTGAGACCATTTCGTGGTAGGACTGTGCGAATGCTGGGACGGCCGGCCCCTGCTCAATGAGGAGGCGGGAAGGAGGGAGGAGGATGCCATCAAAACAATCTGGGAAGGCCCCTCGCAGCACTCTATGGGGGCGTCTCGGGGGTCCCTTTCTGCCGTCCAGACAGGCCACCTCGGGCGTCCTGTATAGCGAGCTTCCGGCGACCTCGGGGCCGTCTTGGACCACGTTGGAGGCCTCTTGGTGGCCTCCTGGTCCATCCTGGGCCCCTCTGGACTCCGACAGAGTCGGGCGAGAACGCTCCCCTCCCACGCGGGATGCCGCAGAAAATCCAGCAGTTTGGGCTCTGGGCCCTCTCACACTCGGCCACTCAGGACTGGGCCGTATCCAGAGAGCCCGAGGGCACCCCCGCGCGTGCATCCGGGCACGGGGGCGGATCGCGACGTTCAGCACGGAGAGCGCCAAGGGTCCCGAGGGCACTCCGCTCTGCGCCTCGCGGCACGGCGCCGGAGGTGTTGCTGCGGCCGAGAACTGTTGGACAGCGTGTCGCTCTGCCAGTGGTAAGTCGGGCCTTTCCCTTTACAGGAGGAATACTCAAACATATGTTTCTTGTTTTTGTTAACATATTATGAGTAATAACAATAATAGTAGTAATAATAATAATGATAATAATGAAACTAATAATAAGCATAATAATAGTAATAATAGTTATAATAATACTCTTAATAATACTAATAATAATACGAATAATACTACTACTAATAATAGGAATACTAATAACACTAACCATATAATAATAATAAGAATAATACCATTAATAATAATAATAATTATTATTATTCTTAGTAAAACTATCATTATAACAATAATAATATTAACAATAGTAATGATAGTAGTAATAGTAATAGTACTAGTAATCGTAATAGTAATATTAATAGTAATAGTAATAGTAATAATAACAGTAATAACACGAATAACAATAATAGTAATAATAATAATAATAATGATAATAATGCCTGGGGGCGTTTTTTCTATTTTCTTCAATTTGTAAGCATGTGTGGACTATTTTGTTGTTGTCCGTCCAGCCGTGCCTCGGTGCGACGCTGTCCGCTGCGCGGTCCCGAGGCGTCCACGTCCACGTCCGCGGAGCGGCCCGCCGCGCCGCGGCACGCGACGCAGAAGCTCCTGCCTGCAGCGGGGCCCGTCGTCCCGCAGCGGCGCCGCGGCCCCCGAGCCCTGAGGACTCGGGCCCTGACTTAGGCCCACGGCTAGTCCCTGAACGCATAGGCCCCGCATGGGTGATTTTGTCAGCGTATATAGATATATGTATAGATGCGTATATATATACACATACATATGTATCTAGATCAATCAAGATATATACAAAACAGAACCATCCATCCCTGATGTGCTTTGCCCTCCTAGCCTGGATCCCTCCCTCCAATTGTCAGGCCCAGGGCTAGTCCCTGAACGTATGAGCCCCGTATGGGTGATTTTGTCAGTGAGTGTATACATATATGTATATATAGAGAGGTAAATGTAGATGTATATGTATAAATACATACACTAAACAGACCCCTCTATCCCTGATGTGCTTTGCCCTCCTCGTTTGAATCCCTCCCAAACTGGCAGGGGGCACTCTGCTTGCTTATCTTCGGATGCAACTCCTGGGAGGTCACATTCTGATTTCTCCCTGGTCCGAAGTCCGGCTGAGTCCAGCTGAATCCCGCTGAATCCGGCTCAATCCCGCTTGATCCCGCTTAATCCGGCTCAATCTTGCTTGCTCCGAGGCCCACTCCGGCGTAAGAGCTCCCAAATGGTGCTTAATCCTTTAACGGGCGAAGAACGGTATAAAATAAACTTTTTCACCGTCGGGGACACCTGCCCCTGGGCGGCTGGAAAGTTTATACCCCTACGGTGCCACCGTAAGTGTATACATTTTCCAGCCGCCCTGGGGCAGGCGACCCCGACAGCGAAAAAGTTTAGTTTAAACCGTTCTTCGCCCGTTAAATCCTCCTTGATCTTTCCGGCGAAAACCTCCCAGCAGTTGCCTCCTTGCTTGCCGTCCTCCCCTGGGGCCAGCAGGCCCATGCCACCCGGGCGCCTGGCGGCCTGAGCCTCCCGGCGGCGCCCAGCAGCGGCCCGCCGCAGGCGGACCTCTACGCCCCCCCTCTGTCTCGCGCCCAGGGCTGGGCCTAAACGATGTTTTTGGCGATCTCGTGGGCCGTTCCCGTTTCGACTTTAAAACGACGCGAAGATCGGGACAAAATCGGATCGGGATAACTCGAAATCTCTGAGAATCGGCGGGTTTGGAGGATGTACTGGGCGCCGCGGCCGCTCCAGAGCGTTCCGGAACGCTCTGAGAGCGCTCCAGAACGCTCTGGAGCGATTTATCCCGATCCTAGGCTTGTTTTAACTTCTTTCTGCGGTAAAGGCGGATTCGAGACAAAAGCGAGGGAAAGCGAACACAGAACTAAACCGAAAAACACCGTTTGGGTTCAGCCCTGCTCGCGCCCGGCTGCTGCTGCCGCCGGCGCAGACACACACGGGGTAGCAGGGTTAAGTCGGGCCTGTCCCTCTACAGGGGGAGTATTGTATTCAAAAGTAGTCAAACGATAGTCTGGGGACGATTTTGTTTTACCATTATTGACCATTTTGGTATATTTTTTGACTATTTGTCATTTTTCGTCTAAAATCCGCCTGTAGGGGGACATGCCCGACCTAACAGTAGGGACGCAGCGTTTCGCCAGAGGTGCCCTTCCAGATCTCCGGCTCGGCACAAGGCAGAGGGGGGCCATCCCCCCTGGGAGGGCTTCTTACAAGCACCCCTGCTTCTCAGAGCGCGCGGGCCTTGTCTACAGACGTGGGGCCGGCGGCTTCCAAGAAGGTGCCTCCTGCTAAGAAGCCTTCCTCCCCTCCCTCCTACCTTGTGCGCGCCGCCAACCAGCGATAAGATGTCTTCAGCCCGGGCGGTTGGCCTCGATTTCGGCCAGGGGGCCAGGGAGCTTTGGGCTTTCCTCAGGTGCACCTCGCGCGCGGGTTTCAGGGTTGGGTTTCTTGCGGCCGCGCCCGCATTGTGCCGATACCGCTACCCTTCCTTCGTTTTCGCTTTTTTCGGCCTCCCGGGAGACCCTCACGTCGTCAGCGTTGGATTCGCCTCGAAATTCGGGTCAGAACGCACCTGTAGGGCAGGTCCGGGCAGTAGCAGTATCGGTACTTGTTGGTGTTCCCAATTTGCATCCTTGCCCCGTTTGCCAGTCTTTTCAAGCAGTCTGTTGTGGTGAGGCTTTCTTCCGAATGACGACTTCAGATGTGTGGCATCCTTACGTGCACCGTGTGCTTACCACCCCTTTTGATTGCATCGAACCGTTTGGCGAGGTTGAAGTTGACGCCGATTATGGTGTTGTTGATCGCGTGGGTAGTGATGGTGGCAGTGTCGGTGACAATGGTGTGTGCGTGTGTCTGTGTGACGTGGGGGATGCCGGTGATGGCCGTACTGATGCCAGATGGTGACGGTGGTGTTCGTGGGGATGTTCACGAAGGTGATGGTGTCGGTGACGCTGATTGCGAAGCTGATGTGGATGAGGGCAGCGATGCCATGTCCACGGTGTTGCAGGTGGTGCTGCTGGGGCGCGACCCTTCTGGTACAGATCCTCGTCCAGGGGTTCTCTAGTGTAGTAATCGCAGTGTATCGTCTTTGGGCTCCACTGGTCGTGCTCGTGCAACTCGGCACTGACCTCAACCATATGCTCGATCTGCTCCTCTCCTGGGTCTCCTAAGTGACTCCTGCCCGTGCCGATGTGGTTCATCAGGCAGCGCCTGCATGCGCGCTCACCTCGGCGGCGTGCCGAGGGTGTTTCGCAACGAGGTGCGGCGGGCTCCGCCGCGCCGTCGGCCACCGCCGCACCCCTGGCCCCCCCTCGCAGGGATCGATGCCGCCGTGCAGCCATCCAGTCCTTCGATGCTCGTTCCGGGGACCTTCCTGGAGCCCACCTAACGGATCTGTTCGACCCCAGTTCGACTCAAGTTCGACTCAAGTTCGACTCAAGTTCAACTCAGGTTCGACTCAGGTTCGACTCAGGTTCGACTCAGGGTCGACCCAAATCGACTGACGTTCGACGCAGCTTCGACGCACGAGTGGAGCGAATGGCTCCAGGAAGGTCCCCAGAACGAGCATCCAACAGTCCTGAGCTTGAGTCGGGCCTGTCCCCCTGCAGGGGAAATATCCAAACGCAGTTTAACATAATAGGCTGGGGGCGAGTTGTTTGGGTATCTCTGAGCATGTTTTGAATATTTGTTGAACACTTGTTTGATTGGGGAAATATCCAAACGCAGTTTAAATCAATAGGCAGGGGACGAGTTGTTTGGGTATCTCTGAGCATGTTTTGACTATGTCTTGAAACATTTTTTGATTCGTCGTCCGAAGCCCACCTGTAGGGGGACACGCCCAGCCTGATCCTGGGCCGAGCACGGCGTCCGAGATCCCTCCGCGCCTCTCTCACCATGGGGGCGTCCGGCCGCGAGTGCACGGCGGGCTCGTCGTCGCCTCTGCTTGACAGCCCCGCGGGACGGGAGGGAGGAGGGAGGAGGGAGGAGGGAGGAGGGAGGACCTTCTCGCCAGGAGAGGGCCGGTGCTGCCCCCCCCGCGGCTCCTCGCGGGGCACGTCGGACCGTCTTGGAGCCTCCCCTGGCAGCCTGCCGCCTGGTCCAGCGACGCCTCTCCCCTGCGCCTGCTCCTCCTCCTGCTCCTCCTGCTCCTCGTCCTGCACCTCTCCCTCCTCTTCCCTCTCGTGCCCCTCCGCTCCCCCCCCTCGGCCCGTTCCTCGTCCCTGCCTGTCCCTGCGCTGCGCTGCAGTCGCTCTCATGTCCAATCGTCCCCCTGCGATGGTTTCAACCCTAACCATTCGTGTTGGCAGAGTCTCCTCCTGCTCCTCCTCCTCCTCCTCACCCTCCTCCTCACCCTCCTCCTCCTCCTCCTCCTCCTCCTCCTCCTCCTCCTGCTCCTCCTCCTCCTACTTCTCGGCGCCCCTCTGCCCGGGGCTCCTCTGTCTGTTCCGTTTCCTTTCCGGTCGGTCTCCTCCTCGCCTTTTGCTTCCTCCTCTTCCTCCTCCTCTTCCTCCTCCTCCTCTTCCTCCTCCTCTTCCTCCTGCTCCTGCTCCTGCTCCTCCTCGTCTTCGAACTGACAAGCCGGAAACTCCAGAAGCAGCAGCTGTCCTACCAGGTTTCCAGTCTTTTGCAGCAACCCCGCGGATGATTGATAACGATGATGGCCGGTGTTCGTGTGGCACCCCAGGACGAAACCAGATCATATTCATGGCCGGCAGATGAGATTTCATCTGCGCTAGTTTGCTTGGTTGACTACTCTCAGAGAGGAAGCGCATGAGTTTTCGGGTCAAGGTTCTTGGAGCTCGAAAGGCGCATCAAGATCTCACGGGCGCGCACATCTGTGTATGTACAGCCAAGGTGCTGTTTGTTGAAACAGAACTCGTTTGCCATGACAGTACAACATCGTGTTTTGCAGTATGTCATTCAGTTGTGAGCTCCCATGTATGGAAACGTGTTTGAAATCAGGTATCACACGACTTAGATATGTAATGGCTTATGGCCCAAGCCAACCGTGTCCTATACGGTTGTTGGCCACCTCATGAATAAGGGTGACGTAGTTGACGAGACTCTCGCTCATCCCGAACACGAGTCTCGAAGGTCACAGGTCTCCACTTCTCATTGTGTCCCCTCTCCCTGCTCCCCCCTTCTCATCCCATTCCCTCCTCCTCCTCCTCCTCCTCCTCCTCCTCCTCCTCCTCCTCCTCTCCCTCCTCCCTTCCTCCTGCCCCCCCCCACCTCTCCCCCTCCACCAGGTTTGCGTGACCGGCACCTACCACACCCTGTCGCAGCAGGGCAAATTCTTCTTCTTCGACCCGGCGCAGTGGTCGAAGATGACGGGCGCGTGGCGCTCCTGGAGCGGCAGGCTGTTCGACGTCAGGCGCGCGGCGCCACGGCGTCGAGGGTCATGGCTCGAGGATCGCAGCTCGACCGCGGCGCGGAGGTCGTGGTTCGAGGAGGAGCAGGGCCGCCTCTCGGAGGTCGCTGCTGCGTGCGCATTGTGTTTCGCGTTCCCCCACCATTCGAGAGGACCTCTGGAGACCAAGACCTTCGGAAGAGGAGGGAGAGGAGGGAGCATTCGAGGATCCCCTGGCTTTTGTGGGATCCGTCGTTCGCCCTATGTGGGCGTTCAGCGGGAGCCCCCGCCGCCAAGGCTGCATCGATTTTGAAACCTTCGTCGCAACGCACCCCTGGCCCCTGATCAGGTCCGTTAGTAATTTGGCTTGGCGCGTGTGGACTCCTGGGCGCCCGAGCGCAGGGAGGGATGGGGTGGGGAGGAGGAGTCGGACCAGGGTACGGTAGGTTCGTGCCGTGTCGACCGGCGGCGACCCCGCCAGCGGCGTTCAACGTTGAACGCCGCGGGCGACCCAGAATCGTTCGATGTGATACGATTTGGACGTTTCGGAAACGGCCGATCGTTCAAGGTTGAACGATCCCCGCGGTGTCAGAAACCAACGCCGAAGTCGGCACGACACGAACCTGCCGTAATCGAAGAAGAGAAACAGGCATAAACATGAAGGTGTGGCGTTCCCTGCGGATTTCTTGGACCCGCGCTGGGCCCCCGTGGCGGCGCCGCCTGGCGCGCTCCACGCGCCAGGGAGGGGGGGTCCAGCGCAGATCCAAGAGAGCCGGACGGACCTCCAACAGATTATGTGTATGGCGTTTTTGTTTTTTTGTTTTTTTCTCCAAGTTTTGCAGACATCGCCCTCCCTGCTCGGGCGGGGGGTAACAGGGGGTGATCTCCACTGGGGATGAAGAAAAATGTGCACTGGGGTCCTAAAGCGGCCCTTTTCTTCACCCCCAACCGTACCGATCCATGCTCCGAACGCGGATGAATGCAACAAGGTGTGGCGTCAAGATTCCAAGGGCGGGGCCCGCGACAGCCCCACTTTGAACAGAAGAATTGCCATCCCTCCTCACAGCTGTTGCACATCGATATTTCTGGCTCGGTTAGGCTTAGCGAAGACGCACGCGACAGAAACCGTGTCGAGAAGGCATCGGACATAACCCGTACCAGTACGTACAAGTGTTACGCGATGTGTCAACGGTGGAAATATTTGTTGAGGAGGTCTCAATCGATAATTCCTTAATGGAAAGGAGCCGCCCTCCATCCGTGTAGAGATCTGAACTGGTAAACAGAGGGCGCGTCGGCAGTGCGAGATGCCCTCTGTGAAAGCGAGACCACTTTCCTCCATGCGACTGTCTGTTGTTAAGACGGGTGCGGTCAGCGCCAAGGCGAGCGCCCCATTTTGAACAAATTCGCCCTCCGTTAGTGTACATGCCGCAACTTTCAAGACAAGTGCGTGCGGCGTTTAGGCGATAGCTCCAGTTTGAAAACGATTCGCCGCCCAGCGTTGTAATCGTTTGACAACTCAAGCAAGCTCCAAGATCTTAAACTGTGCGGAAACCTTCGGCGAAGCGCCCAGCTAACGACACGCTTGGCGGTGCGGGAGGGAGAAGTTGTGTAACAGTTAACAGGAAGAGGCATGGAGAAGAAGGAGGAGAGGAGCAACACCAGCACTCATGCATTGAAGAAGGAAGATTCAGACGAGGAGAGGGACCAGTTCAGGGGGAAGAGCAGGAGTAGTGGGCGGACAAGCAGGAGAGGAGGGCAGTGGACGAGCAGGAGGGGAGCTGCAGCGAATGAACAGAAGAGGGCAAGAGGAGAAACCGGGCAGACACAGGATGAGGATCAATCGTTCCAGATCGAGCCTGATTGCTATCCGAGCATCCTGGGGCGTTGCTGAAAGGCCGCGGCGCCCGGTACATCCCCCAGGCCCACGAGGTCTGAGAGATTTTTGGCTGATTCCAGCCCAGTTTTGTCTCTATCCGACGCTCGTCTTCAGATGTGGGCGGCGGTCTCCGCTTCCACGCCATATCAGGTGATACCAAGCACCAGCTGAGCGACGCAGAAAGCGGGCTCGACTGCGCGGACGTTCGCGTGCAAGCTGCGCGAGAACGGGGGCGCGTGAACGCCCTTGTGGCGGGTCAGCTGCGCGAGAGAAGGGGCGCGCGAGCGCCCCTGTTTCCAATGTGGCGTGCCGCGCTGGCGGTTCGCGCAAGCCGTGTCGTAAGGTCACTGTGCCATCTCGCGTAAGACCCGTCTCTTTTCGACGTTCTGTTCTTCCTTTCGTCCGCTCAATCTGGCGGCCAGCCTGGAGTGGGGGAGCGGGGTGGTTGGGGCATCTGACCGCAGGCGGGTGGTCGCCGTGCTGCTCCAGTGATTCCTTTCGTCCGCTCAACTTGGTGGCCAGCTTTGCGTGCAGCAGGAGGGGTGGGGGATGGGGGGGAGGGGGTATCTGTCGAGAGAACGCTACCACATGGAGTGAGGAGCGTGGATTAGCAACGGGTCCCGTTTCCATGCGAAGTCGGCGCGCGTCGTCGCCAAGTGATGCGGTACTGGCCTCTTGCGTCGGGGGTATTTTCTCGGATCACTGATCCATGCTAGCTTGCGCCCGAATCTGAAGTCGGGCGGGTGCCTGCCCTCCGGCTCACCCCGCCGAGTCGTTCTGACGGCCACCCACCTGCCTCGCCCGCCTCACCTCTGAGGAGGAGGAGGAGGAGGAGGAGGAGGAGGGAGGAGGAGGAGTATCAGGAGGAGGAGAAGAGGAGGAGGAGGAGGAGGAAAAGGAAAAGGAAAAGGAGGAGGAGGAGGAGGAGGAGGAGGACTGGCGCCGGGATCCCGCCGGCCCCCGTGCGGCAAGAGCGTTGGCAGCACGGCTGCTCCGTCACAGGGCGGCGCGCACACAAAGAGGGGGAGGGGGCGCGAGGCGGGCGGCCTGCGCAGGACAGGAGGCCGGGGGGGGGGCTGCCCGGAAGGCCCGCGGGAGCGCGGGGCCGGCGTCTACATGCAAGGAGCCCCTCGCGGGAGCCTCCGGGGCCCTTCGGGGAAGCCCGCCGCCCTCCAAGCAGCCCGCCCGCCCGCGGCCTTCTTTTGGGGAGGCCGCCCCCGTCTGTCAAGAAGACGGGCGTGCCCTTCTACAGAAGGAATATTCCACAGTAGTGAAAAGATAGTCGAGGTATGATTTTTTTGAATGTTTTTTTTGTTGTGAGAATGTTCGATGTTTTCTGGACATTTTCTATTTTTCATCCAAAATCCGCTGGTGAGAGGACATGCCCGACCTAAGTCTACCAGCGGCGCCACCCCCTCGTGCGCCGCCAGCAGGTGCGGCGCAGCAAAAAACCACAAAACAGTGGCTGGGTGGATTTTTCCAGAGGGTCCCTCGGGGAAGGAGCCGCCGATCTCGACATGAGCACTTTGGTTGTGGCTGTGTTCGGTTGGGCCGTCCTGGGGCGTCGCATCGACCACGACAGGTATGCTCAGTTGGTTTCGGATTTCTGACGACTGCTGTCAGCCACGCGGAGAGGGGTGGCCGTGTCTACAGATGTAGGGCTGGCGCCTTCCAAGAAGCAGCCTCCTTCTAAGAAGGCTTCCCCCCTCCCCCCTGCCCCGTTGCGCGCGCCGCCAATGTTGGCATGCCCGAGACATCCCCTGGGTTGTGTCCTCGATGTGGCTGTTGTCGCTTGCTGCTCCCGCAGCATGTAGCGTGGCAAGAGGGCCGTGCCCGACGCCAGGCAGTGGCGCGGCGGCGCCAACGTGTGGAACGGCACGGTGGAGGTGTGGACGTCGAGCCTAGGCCACCGGCCGCGCCGCGCGTCGAGCGATGGAGCCTGCCGTCAGCGGGTGAAGGCAAGGAGGGGGTTGCATCAATCGACCAGGGAGGGAGGATGAGGACTGGAGCCGGCTGGGGATCTGCTGTGGCCCAGCACTGGTTCCAGCCGGCAGGAAGGTGGGGGGGTTCGAAGTTCTGGGTACGATCCTGCTCTTCGCCTTTTTCGGCCGCCGGGGGCCGTTGATTGGCCCCGGGACCATCTGGAATCTGAAACGGATTCGGGGAGCAACAGGTTGCACCAGATGGACCCCAGGAGGGGTTTGGGTACCGATTTTGATTGCATTCTGCTTCATCTCCCCTCCTGTATGATTTTCTGGGGCCCCTAACTGGTTCATATCCCCCAGCCGCCTCCAAGTTGGATCACTCAATCGCAGAGCGAGGGGGGGGGTAGGTCTGGGAGATGCAGAGGGAGGTGCGACGAGGGGGGAGATGGAGCCAGCGGGGTGGGGGCGAGGAGGAGGAAGGAGGAGACGGGAGGAGGATGGCGAGGAGGAGGAGGAGGAGGAGGAGGAGGAGAAGGAGTATGATTCGCAGGAGGAGCGTGGGGAAGCCGGCGGACCCAGGAGTCTTCGGCAGCGGGGCTGGGGGGTGGTACCTCCCTTGTCCCTCTTCCGTCCTCTTTCATCCGCCCTCCCTTCGCCGTGGGTGGTTCGCCTCGTCTTCAACTTTGGGGCTGGTCCCGACCCCTCTCCCTAATTAACCCTCTTTTCCTTACGCTGGTTTGGGGCTCCCCACCCTCGCGCGTGAATCTGGAGCTCTCTTGAGCCATCTTGGAGGTCATCTTGGGCTCTCAGCGGCCCTCTTGGAGCTGTCTTGGGCCATCTTGGACGCTCTGGCCGCTCGCGACCGCCCCCGTCCAGGTCCAGGGGAGGGGGCGTGGTGGAGGTCTGTCGGGAAACATGCAGGGGAAACGCTTTAGACAGCCCCCGCCCCGAGTTGCAATGTGTGGCAGGGTCGGTTGCAGGGTTCCTCGGGGTGCGGCGGGCTCGGTTTGCAGGGTATCGCAGGGTATGGCAGGGGTCAGGTTCGGAAGGAATTGAAGGATATTGCAGGATCTTGCAGGGGCGTTTTGCAGGGTATTGCAGGGTCGTGCGCAGGGAGTTGCAGGGTCGTTGTGAAGGGTATGGCAGGGGTCTGGTTTCCATGAGTCGTGGAATCGGCTTTGTCGTGTAATCGGCTTTACATGGGGGAGGTCTTTGCAGGGTACTGCAGGGTGGTCGGCGAGATCCTGGGGACAGGGTAGGGTGAGGGCTTGCCAGAAAGCATGCAGGGGAAACGCTTTAAGACCGCCTCCGCCCAGAGGGCGCGCGGTCGTTTTGCATGGTATTGAAGGGTCGTCTTGAAGGGTATCGCGGGCCGTTTTGCAGGGTATGGCAGGGGTCTGGTTTGCAGGCTATTGCAAGGGCTTGCATTGTTATTTTTCAGGGTATTGCAGGGCCGTTGGAAGGGTTTTACAGAATATCGCAGGGCTGCCTTGCAGGGTTTCGCAAGGTGTGGCAGGGGTTTGGTTTAGCAGGGTGTTACAAGGTATGGCAGGGGTGTTTTGCAGGGCATTGCAGGGCCGTTTGCAGTGTGATGCAGGGTTTTGCAAGGTCGTTGTGCAAGGTATGGCAGGGGTCTTGTTTGCAGGGTATTGCAGGATATTGCAGGGGCGCTTTGCAAACTATTGTAGGGTCTTTTGCTAGTTGGTGCAGGGTCGATTTGCAGAGTATGGCAGGGGTCTGGTTTCCATGGTATTGCAGTGTCGTGGGATCGGCTTTGTCGTGGACTCGGCTTTGCAATGGGGGGGGGAGTCTTTGCGGGATACTGCAGGGGAGTCGGCGAGATTTTGGGGACAGGGTAGGGAGAGGGTATTGCAGGGTATCGCAAGGCCGTGTTGCAGGGTCTTGCAGGGTCGGTTGCAGGTTTTGCATGGTGTTGTAGGGTCGTCTTGCAGGGTAATGCAGGGGATTGCAGGGTATTGCAGGGGTCTTGTCTGCAGGGTACTGAAAGGTACTGCAGGGTCCGCGCGGATTCTGTGCACCCCCCTTTTGCAGGGTATTGCAGGGTGCGCGGCGAGGTCCAGGGGAGAGGGTAGGGAGAGGGGCTCTTAGGAAGTTGGACGAGAAAACGCTCTAGACCGCCTACTCTCAGAGGGCTGGTGGGATCACATCCATGAGGCAATGCAGACAAATAGACAGAAACCCAAGGGATGGACATGTCAGGAGAAGGGGGGCGGAGGAAGATGAAGCATGAATGGTGACGACAAAAGGGTATGAAGAGCAGGAGTAGGAGGAGGAGAAGGAGGAGGGAGAAGAGAGGAGGAAGAGAGGAGGAGTAGGAAGCATGGGTGATGAAACTATGTGATTTCACTTCCAGAAGGGGGGATGGCGAGGCGGATCTCTAAAAAGAAACATCCCAAACCTCGTAATGTCAAGGCGGATTCGGCTGTGGAAGCTAGGACGCTACAGGAGGCGCAAAAAGATGCCGAGCACACCCACGGATCTAAACTCGATTCTCCTTCTCCTCCTCCTCCTCCTCCTCCTCCTCCTGCTCCTCCTCCGGAACTGGTACATAACATGTTGCCAGCATTGCCAGGAGATCGTATCCCAGAGTCCTGATCAAGTTTGATATTGCAGCACACCAGGTGCTTGGATTGCCTTCCTCCACCTCCTCCCCTCCGTCCTCCACCTCCTCCTCCTCCTCCTCCACTCCTCTTTTGCTCGGCAGACGCGTGCACAGCACCGCGGCGAAGTCGTCGGAACGCAGCCGACGCGCGCGCCAGGGGCACAGCAGATGGAGGAGGAGGAGAAGGAGGAGGAGGAGGAGGAGGAGGAGGAGGAGGAGGAGGAGGAGGGAGGAGGGATGAGGAGGGAGGAGGAGGAGGAGGAGGAGGAGGAGAGGAGGAGGAGGATGAGGAGGAGGAGGAGGAGGAGAGGAGGAGAGAGGAGGAGGAGGAGGAGGAGGAGGAGGAGGAGGAGGAGGAGGAGGAGGAGGAGGAGGAGGAGGAGGAGGAGGAGGAGGAGGAGGAAGCGACTTCGACGGGGAGCGTCCACCTCCCCTTTCTCCTTCGCCTCCACCGCGTCCTCCTGCCAGATGGCGCGCTCCAGAAAGGGCCCCGCTCTCGGCGCCTCTCGCCGTCGGCGGGAAGCGGCGGAAGGCTGGCGCAATGGCGGCAGAAGCAACTTTGGCGGCGGGAGGTCGGAGGAAGCCAGCGGAAGCAAAGGCGAGTCGTCAACCAGGTTTCATTCATCAGCGAGCGAAGAACGGTACAACATAAACTTTTTCGCTGTCGGGGCGCCTGTCCCTGGGCGGCTGGAAAGTTTATACTCCTACGGTGGCACCGTAGGGGTATAAACTTTCCAGCCGCCCAGAGACAGGCGCCCCCGACAGCGAAAAAGTTTCTGTTATACCGTTCTTCGCCCGTTGAATTCAGGGTTGCCGGAGGCGGACAGGGACCCCTCCTCCTGTATTTCCTCTCCGCTGCTCCCCTTGGCCCAGCCAGGCGCACACGGCAACAGGTGGCGCCTCGGCAACGACCAGTGGCAGGTAGGCGACGTGGTGTCGCTCGCGGGCCCTCGCAGCCAGGAGGAGGGGAGGTGGGCTCGGGGTTGGTCAGGAGAGGAATTACGCTACCGAGGAACCCCACATACTGATTTTATGTCTTGTGTGAACCGCGCTACCACTACCACCGCCGTCATGCTCTCAGGTGCCCCCTGTGGTCGTTGAAAGGAGGGGGAGGACGTGTGGGGGGAGAGGAGGGGTTGAGGAGTCATCTGTGACGGTCATATCCGGCGTCGCCTGGCACTTGGATACGAAAGGTAATACGCAATCCCGCACTAGAGGCTATGCCTGGACGACCCTGGCACGCATAGGGAGACCACCCCCTGCGCACCCCCTCTGGTGTTGAGAAAATGCCACGCCTGCAATGCCTGGACGACCCTGGCACGCATAGGGAGACCACCCCCTGCGCACCCCCTCTGGTGTCGAGAAAATGCCACGCCTGCCACGCTCTCCGACCCTGGCACGCATAGGGGCCGCGGTGAGAGACCACCCCCTACGCACCCCCCCGGTGTCGAGAAAGTGCCACGCCTGTCACGCTCTCCGACCCTGGCACGCATAGACGCCGCGGTGAGAGACCACCCCCTGCGCACCCCCCCTGGTGTCGAGAAAGTGCCACGCCTGCCACGCTCTCCGACCCTGGCACGCATAGACGCCGCGGTGAGAGACCACCCCCTGCGCACCCTCTCTGGTGCCCCCCCTGGTGTCGAGAAGGTGCCACGCCTGCCACGCTCTCCGACCCTGGCACGCATAGACGCCGCGGTGAGAGACCACCCCCTGCGCACCCCCCCTGGTGTCGAGAAAGTGCCACGCCTGCCACGCTCTCCGACCCCGGCACGCATAGACGCCGCGGTGAGAGACCACCCCCTGCGCACCCCCCCTGGTGTCGAGAAAGTGCCACGCCTGCCACGCTCTCCGACCCTGGCACGCATAGACGCCGCGGTGAGAGACCACCCCCTGCGCACCCCCTCTGGTGTCGAGAAAGTGCCACGCCTGCCACGCTCTCCGACCCTGGCACGCATAGGGCGCCGCGGTGAGAGACCACCCCCTACGCACCCCCCCTGGTGTCGAGAAAGTGCCACGCCTGCCACGCTCTCCGACCCTGGCACGCATAGACGCCGCGGTGAGAGACCACCCCCCTAGCGCAAACCTTTCTTCTGATGTCGAGAAAGTGCCACGCTTGCCACGCTCCCCGACCCTGGCTCGCATAGACGCCGCGGTGAGAGACCACCCCCTTGCGCACCCCCTCTGGTGTCGAGAAAGTGCCACGCCTGCCACACTCTCCGACCCTGGCTCGCATAGACGCCGCGGTGAGAGACCACCCCTGCGCACCCTCTCTGGTGTCGAGAAAATGCCGCGCCCGTCACGCTCTCCGACCCTGGCTCGCATAGGCGCCGCGGTGAGAGACCACCCCCTGCGCACCCCCCCTGGTGTCGAGAAAGTGCCACGCCTGCCACGCTCTCCGACCCTGGCACGCATAGGGGCCGCGGTGAGAGACCACCCCTTGCGCACCCCCTCTGGTGTCGAGGAAGTGCCACGCCTGCCACGCTCTCCGACCCTGGCACGCATAAGGGCCGCGGTGAGAGACCACCCCCTGCGCACCCCCCTCTGGTGTCGATAAAGTACCAACGCTGCCACGCTCTCCGACCGTGGCACGCATAACGCCGCGGTGAAGAGACCCAACCCCCCCTGCGCACCCCCCCTGGAGTCGAGAAAGTGACACGCCTGCCACGCCTTCGGTGTCGAGAAAAAGCCTGCCACGCCTGCCGACGCGCCCTCCGACCTGGCACGCATAGAACGCCGCGGTGAGAGACACACCCCCTGCGCACCCTCTCTGGTGTTGAAGAAGTGCCACCCCTGCCACGCTCTCCGACCCTGGCACGCATAGAGACCGCGCTGAGGGACCACCCCCTGCGCACCCTCTCTGGTGCCGAGAAAGTGCCACCCCTGCTACGCTCCCCGACCCTGGCACGCATAGAGACCGCGCTGAGGGACCATCCCCTGAGCACCCTCTCTGGTGCCGAGAAAGTGCCAACCCTGCTACGCTCCCCGACCCTGGCACGCATAGAGACCGCGCTGAGGGACCACCCCCTGCGCACCCTTTCTGGTGTCGAGAAAGTGCCACCCCTGCCACGCTCTCCGACCCTGGCACGCATAGAACGCCGCGGTGAAGAAACCACAACTCCCCTGCGCAACCTCCTTGTGTCGAAATGTGCCACGCCTGCCACGCTCTCCGACCCTGGCAACGCATAGACCCGCGGTGAGAGACCCACCCCCCTGCGCACCCCCCTGGTGTCGAGAAAGTGCTACGCCCTGCACGCTCTCCGATCAGCCGACGTGAGCGAGCTACGCAAAATAGACGCCGCGGTGAGAGACCACCCCTGCGCACCCTCTCTGGTGTCGAGAAAGTGCCACGCCTGCCACGCTCTCCGACCCTGGCTCGCATAGACGCCGCGGTGAGAGACCACCCCTGCGCACCCTCTCTGGTGTCGAGAAAGTGCCACGCCTGCCACGCCCTCCGACCCTGGCTCGCATAGACGCCGCGGTGAGAGACCACCCCTGCGCACCCTCTCTGGTGTCGAGAAAGTGCCACGCCTGCCACGCTCTCCGACCCTGGCACGCATAGACGCCGCGGTGAGAGACCACCCCCTGCGCACCCCCCTGCTGCCGAGAAAGTGCCACGCCTGCCGCGCTCTCCGACCCTGGCACGCATAGACGCCGCGGTGAGAGACCAAGCTGTGCTGAGCAGTGCTGTGTGGAGGAGGGGAGGTGTGAGGTGAGACGTGGGTGCGACGCGGCAGGGAAGAAAACCAGAACCCACGAAACATGTGGGGAACCAGAACCCCACGAAACATGTGGGGAAGAAAGAGAAGGAGAGGGAGGAGAAGGAGGAGACGCGGGTGAGACGCGGAAGGGAAGAAAACCAGAACCCCACGAAACATGTGGGGAAAAGCACACAGACACAATGAATCGTCGATTCCCAAGAAAATTTGGGACAATATGGGAAGTGGGGGGGGAAGACAAAAACTTAGAAAACATGAGAAAATATGGGGAATATTTTTATTTGTGTGTATTCATTTGTGTGTCCTGGGGCCCCTTCAGTTGGGCGTCGCGTAGTAGGCGGTAAATGGGATGGGGGCAGCGAGGGCTGCGGAAAAGGTGCCCTTGAGGGCCAACAAGGCGGCAACTGGAGACCGAGAAGTGCACCTTTCTTCCCCCCCCCACCTGTCGCCCCCCATTAAGCGACGCCCAACGGGGACAGGAATCCAGAGTCCAGAGCAAGAAGAAACCGCAGATACATCTGTGTTCTAAGGTCCGCGCGGGATGTCTTGGATTTGCGCGAATTTCGGGAAGTGTATTTGTTCGAATATGTGTCGTGTTCTGGAAAGTCAGTTCCCCAGGGTTGGTCAAGAAGTGACAATTCGTGGGAAAGCCCTGACCAAACCCAGATCGGCCCCTTCTCCTTGGTCTGGTCAGTGGATCCCTCCTTCTTGGGATGGTGGCGTCGAAAGGCCCCGACAGGTTCTTTCACTATTCCGGTGAGACTCGCACCCTTGGGATAATAGAGCTCGGGATCCTGAATTTTTTCCCCAGAGGTATCAATGTTGGGATGTCCAGATGGGTGTTGAATTGCTTTGGATGGGTCTGGCCCCTCTTTGGGAGCTCTCTGAAAGCTTGAGGTTGTTAGTGAGGGCGATAGAGAGATCGATCTTAGTTCGGACGTGGCGCGGAGTGAGGAAGGAGAGGTGGAGGAGGAGGATGGAGAAGGAGGAAGAGACAGAGAAGAGAAGGAGTAGAGGTAGGAGGAGCAGCAGTCACAGAAGATTAGGAAGAGGACGAGTAGAGGGAAGAGGAGAAGGAGAAGGAGGAGGATGAGGAGGAGGAGGAGGAGGAGGAGGATATGTCCAGAACGTTCAAAATATTCTACCGAATTCTATTTGTAAAACTGAAGGGTTCGTGGTGGTTTCCCCCTCCTTACTCATGGTTGCTGTTTGCCGATGGTACAAAAAGCTGGTGATGAAACAAGTTTGGAGGGGGTACCGAGGGAGGAAGGAGAGGAGGAGTGTAGTCATAAAAGAGGACGGCAAGGACGAGGAGAGGGAGGAGTAGAAGGAGGAAGAGGAGGAGGAGATGTCAAGAGAAATCGACGTTTTGAACCAATCGAATTCTTTGTGATGGACTAAAGAAGTATGTGTGGTTTTATATTCGACGTGTAGGAGAGGACTCATGATTGTTCTTTGAGGGTGAGACAGATGACGGCGATAAACACGTTCGTCCTCCTCTCTCTCCTCCTTGCCTCTTTCTCTCCTCCTCTCCATTCCTCCCTCTCTCCTCTTCTTTCCTCTTCTCTCCTCTCCTCTCTCCTCCTGTCCTCCCCTCCCGTTGTTTGTTCCTCTCCTCTCTTCTCTTCTCTTCTCTTCTCTTCTCTTCTCTTCTCTTCTCCTCCTCCTCCTCCTCCTCCTCCTCCTCCTCCTCCTCCTCCTCCTCCCCCTCCTCCTCATCCTTCCTCAGGGCAGGGCCGATAGGTGGGAGTCGGCGGGCAACAGGTTCAGACGCACCGACTGCCGAGCGAGATCGGCCTCCACCGAAGGACACTCGGTGCGTCGGCCGGGCTGTTCCATGAGAGCTCCGCTGCGCGCACGCCCCCTCGGCCCCCTCGGCTCCCTTGGTGCCGGAGGCCCCCCAAGGGGGGCGGACCTCCGTCTTCTCGGCTGCTCCAGACGCGGGAGGCTTGCGGGATCCAGCCCCTGTACTCCTCGCTCCTCCTCGCTCCTCCTCCTCCTCCTCCTCCTCCTCCTCCTCCTCCTCCTCCTCCTCCTCCTCCTCCTCCTCCTCCTCCTCCTCCTCCTCCTCCTCCTCCTCGATCCGACCTGCCTCTTGGCGCCAGCGAGTGCAGCCGAGTCTCTTCGCCGGGCCAGGGGGATGGCCCTCGGTGGCGCCTCCCCGACGCGGGAGGCACCCAGGGAGCACTTTTCCGGTCGGCGCCGCAGGCAGCTTCAGGGCGCCCGTGTCCCTGCGCGC